GGCCTTTCATAAATTTGAAATTTTTTTCCTTTTGTGTGTGTTTTTGTTTTTTGAGGTGCCACACATAGCCATGTTCAAGGGCCACCTTTGGTGCAGTACTTGGGGGGTCAGATAGTACTGGGAATTAAACCCAGACCTCACACGCAAAGCATGTACTCCAGCCCTTTGACCTTTTTCTCTTGCCCCCAAATTCCACATTTTCCCCTTTAAAAAAATTATTGTAATTAAAGTAACATGATTAACTTTATAATTTCGTGTTTACTCCACATTCTGTAGTCTCAGGGCTTATTCCTAGCTCTGTGTTAGGAATCACTCCTGGCACTGCTCAAGAGACCGTGTGGGATGCTGGGGATTGAACCTAGGTGGGGCATGTGCAGAGCAAGCAAATACCTTACTGACTACACTGTCTCTCTGGCCTCAGCTTTTATGATTTTAATGTACCAAGTTTACTACATCTTCAGCACCACCAAAATGCCCAAAACCTGTTCTTAATGTCATTTCCTGTCTGCCTTTAAGTTATACTAGAAAGATAAAGCAATCAAGACCAAGGTACTGAACTAAAAACAGACTACTGGAAAAGAATTGAGAGCCCAGAGGTAGAGCCTCAGAATTGTGCATAGTTAATCGATGTCAAACCAACTGGGTACATGAAGTAGAGCAAGGAAAATGTCTTTAACAAATTATGTTGGGGGTACTGGAGAGATAGTACAGTAAGTAGGGCACTTGTCTTACACACAGCCAACCCAGATTCAATCCCTACAACCACATATGGTCCCCCCAAGTCTTGATTGAAGTGATCGCAGAGGGCAGAGCTAGGATTAAACCCTGAGCATGACCAGATGTGGCCCCCAAACAAACAGACAAACAAATGTGTTGGGGAAACTGAATAGTTACATGCAAAACAAATCCTAGAACTGGATCTGTATCTCATACCATATACAAATTAATCCCAAATGGATTAAAACAAGATTAGATCAGAATCCATAAAATACTTTGAGGAAATATATTTTAGGTCGAACTTTCCAAGATGGAGACCTTAGAGGTGCCTTCAGTAATTTGACTCCATTAGCAGAGAAAACAGAAACAGAGTAAGGAAGCCTATATGTCAAACTAAAATGTTTCTACATGGCATAAGAAATTCCAGCTTTTACTGGGATGTTAAGGTTTTACTGTCCTCTCTCAGTGACTTAACTGCCCATGCACACTGCTCTAGTCCTATTTTATGGATTGGTTGTAATTTTAAGAATTTGTCTCTCCAGGAAGCCAATTTTCCGGCAAGGTCAGTGGGACCTGTCATTTCTGCCCAGTGACGCAATAGCCAAAGCCCAGGAAACATCTGTGGTGATTGGGTGACCCTGCTCTGACTCAGGCAGCCGCTCCTGGGCTTCTGGCCTTAGAAGTGGCCATACACCTCCAGAGCTGCCAAACTCTTTTAAACTAAATTTGGTTCAGGTCCACATTGGATTTGAATGATTGTGCTGCAGCTGACACACGAGTCTGAGAATAGACTCAGTAGAGCTGGGAAAAGAGAAAAAAACCTCCAGTTTAAAGAAAAGGAAGACACTCTGCTGACTAGGAGAAAAATATTTGCATGCTTATATTAAATAAGGACTAATGCCCAAGATATGTAAATCACTCATAACTCCCAACAACAGCAGAAACAGTAACCCCATCAAAAATTGGGGGTGAGCAGACTCTTCCCCCAAAAAGACATTCTTAAAGTATTTTAGTCTTTAACCAATGTGGGTAGTTATTTACATTTCTTGTGTTTTCACTGTTATTATTTTGTGTTTACGTACATTTATTTAAACCTTTTATTTACATTTGGGATTTCACAATTTCAGTCAATATCTTTCTAAAACCTATAAATGAATATTCTTACTCGTTTTTAAAAATGAATCTTAACAAAAAACAGTGAGAGCATCAGTGTCACGTGGGTCAGTATGGTCCATCTACCTCAGTGACTTTGTCTCAACATTTTGTAAATTCACATCGGAACTCAGTGAATATTAAAAATACACTGAGTGTTCACTTCCCCTAATGACCCATTAAGAATTACATGGTTTGGGGGATGGAGAAAGTTCAAGGCAAGCCTTGCATGTGATTGACCCCGGTTCCATCCCTGTCACCTCACAGAGCCAGGAATATCCCCCAAGCACCACCAGGTATGATCCATTCCCAGAATGATTCAGCAGTTTAGACCTGGGATATGGCTCAGATAACTGGGGTTTGGAATCAAGCCCCAGATTGAATCCCTGGCACTTCATCATCCCCCAAACACAGCTGAGTGTGACCCCACAAATTAATGACAATGAAAAGAAGCCAGTAATTTGAGGCCACGGAGAGAACTCAAAATAGTGGAACACAGGCTTTGCATGTGCATGACCCTGGGTTCAATCCCCTGGCACCAGAAGCTCTCTCCTGGTGTACCCTGAGGATTGCCAGTGATGTGGTGGCCTGAGCCTCTGAGCCCCACTGAGAAAGGCCCCTATTTTAAATAGTAATTTATCTAATTTACTCTCAACATGGAGAGGGAATGATGGTAAGAGGGAGCATATCCAGTCTATTCAGAGAACTTTCAAATTGTACCACTGATTTCTCAAGTTCTAATGTGATTTTATCTGGCCCTCACTAAGAATTATCTCGCAAAGAGACCACAGTTGCCTTGCCAAAAGTCTTGAAGGTAGAAATGATTTAAAGTAACTATTCTACACTTTACTTAACATGTTCATGTTGGCGTGTATCATTGGTACCTCTCAATATAGCTTAATTAACATAAAGTACAGCACTGAGTCTACATCTTAACATATTAATCTTCTTATATTAGTCTGTTTTCTTTTGCACAGATTTCACCAGTTTGCTATATTCTATGAAAGCAGGTCTTTTTATTTGTCCTAAACCCACCTGTTTTCTATGTTGAGAGAACTCACTACAAGTATTTGAAAATATATTAGTCAGCTCTATCCTGAAATATTCATCCTATCCGTAACCCTTCATGACTTCCAGTTCTGATCATATGTATATCCCCTTTTCTTACCAACGCTTCTAATATCCACTGCTTTTATCAAGCCTGCACTGCACTGTAGCACTGTTCTCCCATTGTTCATCGATTTGCTCGAGCAGGCCCAGTAACGTCTCCATCGTGAGACTTCTTTTTACTGTGTTTGGCATATTGAATATGTCACGGGGAGCTTGCCAGGCTTTGCCGTGCAGGTGAGATACTCTCAGTAGCTTGCTGGGCTCTCCTAGAGGGGCAGAGGAATCGAGCCCAGGTCGGCCAGGCAGGTCGCATGCAAGGGAAACGCCCTACCGCTATGCTATCACTCCAGCCCGTATCAAGCCTATTAAGTCATTTTCATTGCACTAATCTGAATCTTTTCCAACTTTTATCCTTTTTGAGCAAGTGATCTAAATTATGGTAGTATAACTTAAAGTTGTCTTTAGGATGATAATTTTACAAAAACTCTTAAAATATGCTTGTTTTTAATCTTTTAATTGAACAGTATACTGTTCACTTTGAAATTTTACCAGGACAAAAAGTTAAACCCTAATGAAAGCTGTTTAGTGTCTTCCTTAAAGGTCCAGTGCTTCTCTGCAAAAGTTCTACCTTTGCTTCTATTTGATCTGTTGTTACCTTACACTGTTGGCAGGGTAACAGTTACATAGGACGTGCATATCATTGGGCATGTTGTGGTTAAAATAGACTGAAAGCAGACTGGAGCAGTAGTACAGCAGGTAGGGCACTTGCTTTGCATTCAGCCAATTGGGTTTGATCCTTAACATTCCATATGTTCCCCCTGAGCACAGAGCCTGGAGTAAGACTTGAGAACCACTAGCTGTGACCCAAAAACAAAACAAAACTATATATATATATATAAATAATAATAATAAAGGCCCTCCCGTTGATCATCGATTTGTTCGAGCAGGCCCAGTAACGTCTCCATTGGAGACTTTGTTGTTACTGTGTTTGGCATATCGAATACGTCATGGGGAGCTTGCCAGGCTCTGCCATGCGGGCGAGATACTCTCAGTAGCTTGCCGGGTTCTCCGAGAGGGGCGGAGGAATCGAACTCGGTTCGGCCATGTTGGCTGCATGCAAGGCAAACACCCTACCGCAAATAATCGTACTGAAACAGTTCTAAAAATGATTATATTACCTGTACTGCCAGGGGGAAAAAATAAGTACCAGACTTCTTTTCTTTTTTTGACTATTTTGGGTCACACCCAGTGACGATTCTCAAGGGTTACTCATGGCTCTGCACTCAGGAATTACTCCTGGTGGTGCTTAGGGGACCATATGAAATGCTGGGGATTGAAACCAGGTCGGCCTCTTGCAAGGCAAACACCCTCCCTGCCTTACTATCTCTGAGGCCCAATACCAGATATTTTTTAAGCCCTTGCATTCATTAATCTATGAGGTTGCTTCAATTCTCCATCTTAGCAAATTGTGTATAGGGTGGCGGAATAATATACCCGAAGTCAACCGTGGTAGAGCTTTTACTGCAATCCAGCCAGGCTAACTCAGGCCTACTTCATGATTTCATATGCTCACGTGTATTTAGGGACTCATTTTTTTCCAGGATAGTTGTAACTTTATCTATAACATTCTTTCTCATTTCTTAGATTCTTTCTCTTTAGTTCTTTAATTTCAATTTCTAGGCATCATTTCTCTAAACTAGATAAAGGAATAAACACCTTTACCTACCAGTGGCCCAGTGAAGGCTCAGCTCCTGCCACACAACTTGTTTAGAATAACTCAGAATTTCTAGTTGAAAGGACTTTTGGAAAAAATGAAAGTTTTTGTTTTTGTTTTTGTCCTTAGAAGATAGAGAATTTGTAGGTAGCTCAGTATAACCACTACTATATTCTGAAAACCTTTCCATTTTACCACTTACTGCCATGACATATATCTCCAACCTCCCTTTGTTGGTGAATGGTTGGTCAGCAATGCTAGTGAGCACTCAAAGATTCCTGTCTAAAAACCTCTTCTGTTTTTGCAGTGGATAGCCTGCTGAAATACACTGGCTATGGGAATGCTGCAGGACTGTTGGCGGCCAGGGGCCTCTTGGCTGGAGGAAGAGGAGATAATTGGTACTCAGAGGACGAGGACACAGACACTGAAGAATACAAAAATGCAAAACCAAAGTATAGTATCAAGTTTCTTTTCATCTTACTATGCTTGTACCTTTGAGTTGGTTATTTGCCTTTCACTTCCTTTATTCTTATTTTTCAAGTGTTTCTTTGCTTTTGTGGATTTGGAAGCTTTCTGTTTAATAGTGGGTTTTTTTGAGGTTAGTTCATAGTTACTGCCTTAGAGAGTGACTGCATGTGATTGAGGATGAAGAGTATTGCTAGAAATGTTCAGTTCCATGCTCCTCGCAGTTCTTATGAGAGATGATGTCTTAGTTATCTATTGCCATAGTCTCTAAAATTATTATTGCTTACTTTTTGCTTTCCTTTTCATAGGTTGGTATTTTATAAGGTATGACCAAGATCAAGTATTTAAGTTGATTATTTGATGCTTTCATTTTTCTCAGTAATCTGAACATAGATTCCATACATGCTGATCTTACCTCTTTTATATAGTCTTTTTTGAGTCATTAAAATAAACCAGGAGGGGGCCAGGATATAGCTCAAATGATTGGGACGCATATTCAACTCCCCAATACTATGTAGCCACCTAAGCACCAGCAGGTGTAGCCCTGGTGACTCCCAGAACCCTTGGGAAGCTCCCGTCCAAAACAGACAGGTAAAATAAAATTAAGCAACAAGGCACATTACTTGAAAAATGAACAAAGTCTGATACCACGGTATTTTAGGTGATCATTTTTTTAAACAGATGGATCGGTGTGCTGAGTAGACAAACTGGAGACTTTTCTTGAAGTCTTCCTGGAATGGGTGTTTACAAACCAAAGGCATTAATTCTTGTACTCAAGTCAAAACACTTTCCTTCTACCCTCGCTCATTCTTTTCACCCCACTGAGTCCCATCCCAGGTAAATGTCTTAGTTTCCATTCCCTCGGAGTACTTGAGCTCAGTTATCTGGCTTCTCTGATTGTTGAAAGGGTTTGCCCTTCTCTTTGGCATTATTGGTGACGCTGCCATACTGTGTCTTTTACTGATAGTCTTCTAGAGCAGTGTTTCTCGACACAGCTATGTTCACCTTCCAACCTTGTTTCCTTCCTATGGCCCCCTGCCCTACTGGTTGGCTCCCTAATCTCATACTGTCACCCCATATTTATAGTTTTCTCATACTGTGTCCCCCTACCCACCTTGGAATATCTTGGGAGTCTAACAGGGGCTGTTCAGCCCTTGATTAAAAACACCGGTCTAGAGTTTGCTGTGGATCATGTAGTGGTTGAACAAAGGTAGAAAACCATCATCTACAAAATTAACTCCTCCTTTTACATATATATTGTAACCTAATAAAGTTCAGGGGGCATGACTGGAGATACAAGATTCTTCTCTAAATAGATAGAATTTACATGGGGCCTATATCACTGGTAAATTTAGGTCTGTACAATTAACATTTCTTTTGGCATGCCCAGTCCTATAAGTCTCAATAGGATCACATCATTATATGTTACAGAGGAGGCTTTTTGGAAGGAGAAGGTGGAGGAGATGAAGCAGTAAGTTGTTAAGGCTCCCAGCACTGGGGCCAAAGACGTGAGTTGGTGACAGAACACTTGCCTTACATGTTTGAGACCCTGGGACTACAGAGAAAGATCCACCACCATTTAGATGCTATAAAATGGGCAACTCCATCAAGTGTTTGAAGCTAAGATAGAGGAATCCTATAATTCTTCCTCTAAATATAGAAGTCATCATTTTAAGTTAGTCTAGCAAGCTCTTGATTTTTCTGTTCTGTTAACTTTTTCCATGTCAATATTTTACCAGTTTATTTAAGTCTCACCATTTGAAACATTAAAACTACTGGCAATGTCATTTTTAATTGTAGAAATTACATTCATTATGTCCCACATATGGATACAGTCAATATGAGTACTCAGAAGTGGTTGACATCATCACATCTTAGTGTAGATTGCTGATCTGTAGTGACTTCCTTGCAAACTCCAGAATGTTACTATAATACAAAGGAGCCCAGAGAAGATGCAGGAACACTGGGTCTCTCCCAACAAGGGAAGTAGAAATACATTGCATTATGGAAGCGATATCCTATTTCAGGAGAGTACCTTTTTTAAAAAACCAAAGATCCTGATGTACAGGACTGTTACTGTCTTAGCTTGCTGTCGGATTCTGTAACTTAAAATTCCCTCGCTGGAATCTTCTCTTTAGACCTGAACTAAAGTGATATTTATAGAAAGAAAGGGGAGAAGATGGTCACCATTATGAAACTTGTGTTTTTAAAACTTACTTATTTCAAGTATAAACGTGTTTCTTAAGTAGTAGTAGGAGGAGGAGGAGGAGTACATATTTCCACATCGATAGATTTTTTTTTTTTTTTGCATCTTTCCCCATTCAGGTAAAACAGTGTGGAGGGGTGTTTGTAATCTAACATACTTATTCAAATGGTCCCTGTGAAAGCAGCAAAGAACAAATTACTCAACAAGCAAGAGCTCTGTGCTGTGGGAAATGGCCCTCAGAACTCAAAGAATGTTTTCCCTAGATCATTCAGAAAACTTAGCAATCTAGCAAGTTTATAAAGTCAGCATTTGAAAGGATTGCTTAATCCCTCACTTCTTATTACCTGTCACCAGTTAACGTTCCCAAAATCAGTTTCTTTTCTATGATGCATTTACTCACAACAGTTGATGGTATTGGCAAAAGCAGAGAACTTACCCTTAACTTACCCTTGTTCTTAGTGCCATTGTCCAAAATTTAAGTGGATTCTGATTAACGCACCAAGGTAATCTGTAAACCTTTAGTGGAATCTAAAACCAAAAAGTATATGCTGCTTACATTTGGGCTGTGGGAGACAGGTAGTATCACAACAATTTTTTTTTCGGCAAGATAAATGTATATAATGGACTGGAAATGACTTTCTCAATTAGCACACTTATATGAAATACCTCGTAGATTCAAGTTACATACTGCACAGTATTGGTATAGATATTGGTATAGAAAGGAAAGATAGAATTCTTTCATATCCCCTGGAATCAAATCCAAGGACTCAAAAGCATCAAAAGCAAGTGCTTTACCACTGAACTGTATCTCTGACCCTCGTTCCATTTTTTTTCCCCCTCTGAGCCTACAGGTCCCTGGCTGTAACAGTGATATAATGTAGTACCTGTTAATATATAAGATCTAGACATCTTTCCAGACATCAAGATCAAGTATCAAGGGGCTGGAGATCATATGGCAAGCAGGGCATTTGCCTTGCTTGTACTGACATGGGTTCAATCCCCAGCACCCTGTTTGGTCCCTGATCACCACAGGAGTAATTCCTGAGTGCAGAGCCAGGAGTTACCCCTGAGCTTTGCTGGGTGTGGTTCAGAAACTAAAAGTGTGTGTGTGTGTGTGTGTGTGTGTGTGTGCCGAAAGACATTTGGCTGTTTCAAACCAACCTTATTTTTTTTTCACACTGTATATAAAGGAACTAGGGATCAAATTGGTATCTTTAAATAACCCTTATGTAGGGGCAGGTAAAGGGAATGACCAAAGTCCACAGAACTTTAGATCATGCTTGCCTTGCATGATACCAACCTGAGTTTAATCCTTAGCACCACACATGTTCCCCTGAGCACTGTGGATGTGCGCCCCCAACCCCACCAAATACATCCTTAAATACTGTTACTAACCCGCTCTAGTTCATATTCACATCAGAAATTGTTGTACTAAGCAAACTCAGGGCTTTTTCCCTTTTTGCTTGTTTTTATCTCAGGCCTTTTGTTATATTGCTAAAAGTCAGGTTTCACTATTATTGTCCCCATAGAGCTTTAATATTACTTTTTAATATGTACTGGAAAAAAAATGAACCAAAAATGAGGTATTCAAGATTTTTTGTCTAGCTTGAGCTTTGGTATATTGACATATTTTAGGATTTAAGTAGCATTTCTAGAATCTTGAGCTTTTTCACCATAAGCAAGCATGGAGCATGAACCAAAATTCAAATCCCTAAAAGACCAAAGTAGAAAGAAAAAGTATTGCCACATTTGCCAGGTGTACTGCTTCCATCCTTTATGGAAGTTTACCAACCTCTGTAATATTTGTCCACACTAGTTTTGCATTTCAAAATAAAGTTTTGTCCTTTTTATTTTGCATTATTAGTTTGGGTAAATGCCAGCAAGAGACCAAGTGTGTGGCTCAGTGTTTTAGTACTGAGTTTTCACCAGGTTTTATTTGCTGTGGATTCACAACTATTAGTTTTCTTGATTATCAAGAATAGCATATTTTTTAACTATAATTTTGGGGAGGGGGCAAGGTAAGGGGAGTGGTGTTGAATACTTCTTTTTAAAATACTGGTTCAAATCATTCTCTAAGGTCCTGATTCTAAATTTTCTAATTATATTGACACAAAAGTTGAAGAAAACATGACATAAAAACACAAAGAAGTGTAGTTATTTGATCGAGAGAAAGCTGCAGTTTGTAAGATTCCTTGAGTGAATCCTGAATAACTGCACTGCTTGCTTTTTTGTCTGATTCAAAGATTCAGTCAAATCCTTATTTTCCAAAATATTTCCTTGAGAAGTGGCAAGTGTCGGCAGAAAAGATGAATCCGATTAATATGTATAAATAGTAAAATTGTAGGAAGCCAAAACTAATGATCATAAATAAATTATGCTTATATAGCTTAAGTTCTTTTAAGACTTATTATCTTATAACAAATAGTAGGGCTGGAGCAATAGCACAGCAGGTAGGGTGTTTGCCTTGCTCGTGGCCGACCCGGGTTCGATTCCTCCGTTCTTCTCAGAGAGCTCTGCAAGCTACCAAGAGTATCCTGCCTGCATGGCAGAGCCTGGCAAGCAACTGTGGCATATTTGATATGCCAAAAACAGTAACAACAAGTCTCACAATGGGGACTTTACTTACTGGTGCCCGCTCAAGCAAATCGATGAATAGTGATTTATATATACAAACAATGGAGTATTATCCAGCCTATTAATTGTACTAATTGTACCACTCTGTATATTTATAAGGCTGATATGTGATAGACTTACTCAATATTTGATAGATTTTTTAAAAAT